GTGATGATATTCAATTTAAGTCACGCGAGCCCTCGGACGTTTCCGCCGTCTGGTTCGGGGGTGTGACAAAGGAAGAGGAGCCGCCTTCTCCGATGGAATAAATGCCATATAACCTCCTTATCAACCGGCTCCGATTCACGGCTTCTCCTCTCTTCGGAAAAGACAGCAGCGACAGCAACAAGGTGGCAGGATCCGGTAGCGGCGGTCGCTAATGGCAAAGATGAATCCACACGTCGTGGGTCTTCGATGTTGTCGGTGGCAAGGATGATTTGATGATGCTTGGTAACCGGAGGACGAACGAGATCAATGGCGGCTCGGTGGTCGGAGGAACAAGGGAGTAGGGTGGCGGCCGATGGTGGGGGCATAAGGATGGAGCGGCGGCTGTTCTCTCTTAGGGTTAGGGTTACACACCCTTTAAATACCCACCTCCATCTACAAGTTTGCCATAATAGCAATAATAGTCCCTCCCCATAACATTTTCTTCAAACTTAATCCAATATTTACCATTTAAACCCCATCTTCTGAAATCCCTCACAAATAAGGTCGGAAATTTACCAATCAACCCTCTTTCTACAAAATCTCTTCAAAAGAAGTCCCACATGTTACCATTTAGTCCCTGCCCCCACTAATACTTACAAATTAAGTCCAGATTTTACTCTTTTAACCCCCAATCTCTTAAAGTGTGACAATTAACTCTACGAGACCATCCTTTGACATATAATTATTTTTTTAGGGCTTCTATGCATTCATCAATTTATTTATTTATTTAATAAATAAACGAGGTGTTACAAGGAAGTCTTCCCATGTCATCTTACTGGAACTTACATGTGAGCTAAGGGGCTTCATAATTTATACTCTAATATATGTTTGGGTATGTACGGAGTGCACGCATGTATAAGATCAAATTAGAAGCCGGTTCGACGACAAGTCGGGGGTCCAGGGGCAGCGCCCTGGGTCCGGGGTTTCAAAAGGGGCAGCGCCCCTTTGGCGGGGTCCAAAGGGCAGAGCCCCTAGCTGGGGTCCCACTGGGGTCGAGGGGCAACCCCCCAAAAACTCTTCGGATTTTACAAGTGGATACATAGTGGAAAAATCGAATTTTTAGAGGGATTATGGTAAAACTGACTAAGATCGTTAGTTTTGGAAACCATTGATTTTCTCATTAATTCTGGATTCCCTTGACTTGTTTCCAAAGGAACTCATGACGGCCAACCCTAAATGAAAACCCTACATCTCGTTTTCTATGTAATCGGCTATCCTCTTGAGGAGAAACAATGTCCTTTTAGCTCTCGTTTTTTCTTCATACGAACTCATAATCTTCTAGCAATTTGACTTACGTTTTCTGTGCCTAGATTCGTAAGTGTCCCCTTGGGATCATCCAAGGCTGAATTTTTTATAACCCGAGAATATGATAGAAATATTAGTTCAGATAGTGTTTACACGATCCAAGGGGTATCCAGATCTCCACTATAACCTTACCCAATTTCTAACAAAAAATATATTGCTATTATCCTTTTATTTTTTAATTTGGTTTTATTTTGGTTTTGTGTACCTATAGATTCATAACTGATGTTTCCTTTTTCATTCATTACAGATTCACAAAAGTACTTTGAACGTTTGAAATTTTGTAATTCCTATTTTTATAGTCTTTCTGTTATTTTAATTTGTTAAGTGTGTAGTACACAGGTTATAATCTAGTTAATTATATATGGTGTAAACATATGGACTATTGCACATGTTGCTATGACCCTGTTGGAATACACATGCATACACCATACATAAAAATATAGTTACATACATTTTAATTCCATAAGAACCATAATTCACGATCCTCTTCAAAATAACCACGATTACAAGATAAAAAATAGTATTCATAAGTCATAATGTTTGTTTAATAAAGCGGGTTTTGTTTTGACGTCCTAGGCTCCTACAAAACTATTACATTACAACAACCATAATATTATAACAGTTTGAAATAATAGACTATGATTTTTATTTATTAAAATATTGATAATCATATTGAAAATGAGAAAAGTATATGTTTGAAAATTTCAAGTTTCATGTTAAAAGGAAAGATATAAGATATTAGAATAAAGTTAAAATCTCTCTAATCATAATTTGTGGTTTACTATATGAGCACATGCATGAGGTGCCCCGCTCATCATACGCCGTATTTCTTTCTGCTGTAACGTGACATCGTTAATGCTTACATCTAGTTTCCAAGGAATCCGTTTGTTCAAAACAACTGACTATCACTGCAGGATTTAGTATTTTTAATACACAAATTCTTATATCTGAATTTTACATACATTATTAAATTCTCAAAATTCACGAAATTAGAGAATCTAAATTTTATTTTTTACATAATATGAAAAGTGATCTATATTTTAATTAAGTCAAAATGGTGGATCTAATCTACATTGAATGCATGCATCTGCAAGTTAAAGTCGATCTTATTTTAGGATTAACTTCAGTTGCTTGTATCATGCATGTGAATATAGATATGTATAAGCAGTTAAGCACATAAACTTATAAGTTATAAATAGGGTGATAGGGAAGTAGTACTGCACCCGTACTCCATTGTACTTGCTATCTTTCCTTATCATATAGCTAGATCCGAAAATGTCGTTCTTACCCTCTCTTTACTTTCTCTTCATCTTCTTTTACATTACTTGTACACCATTCCTTGTTGCTGGTACCACTGCTGCTCGAACTCCTATTAGTGATGGTATGTTAATTTCAGCGTTATTTTTTCTTCGTTTCTAGATAAAATTAATGAAATCAAGATATAATACATTTTACAAATTTAATGTTACAAGCATATTTTTAAAATGCATGCTTTGAAACTGTTATTTCCAGGAATGCTTCCAAATGGCCACTTTGAGCTAGGTCCAAAACCATCGAACCTCAAGAAAACAGTGATAATAGGGAACTACTCGTTGCCCAAATGGGTAATCAAGGGCATAGTCGAGTACGTCTCAGGTGGGCCACAACCAGGTGGGTTCTACTTTGCAGTTCCTCGTGGGACCCACGCAGCAAGGCTTGGGAATGAAGCTTCGATATCACAATATATTACAGTCGAGGCAGGTTCAACCTACTCCCTCACATTTTCAGCAACAAGAACTTGTGCTCAAGATGAGAAGCTCGTTATATATGCTGATGGGCACTCAGGCGAGCTTCCAATTCAAACGTTGTATAGTACAGATGGAGGTGACACTTATGCTTATGCTTTTAAGGCTCTTCGCAGCACTGTCAAGGTTACATTTCACAATCCAGGGATTCAAGAGGACCCCACTTGTGGGCCACTCTTAGACGCCATCGCAATAAAAAAGATGACTCCTCTCAAGTATTCCGCAGGTGCGTATTATCATTTTCCAGTCTTTATAATGATGCTATAGATAACATATTGTTGATCTTAGTTTTCTTTCCGGCCCACGGTTTTTGTTTAGAGAGAAAACGACTGTAAAGAAGAAGCCGAGAAAATATACAAATCCGTATCATTATAGAGTCTCCAACAAAAATCTATGTCACAAATATATAAAAAATAGGGTAGATCCCGTGGAGTTGTGGAAAATTTGTGTACATATAATAGACAACAATAGGTTAGTTTTAATTTACATAAAATTGCACTTCTCGTTTATGCAAATTAATACGTAAAAAATGAATTCTCATACTTTTACAACTCTACATACATAAAATCGAATTTGTAAAACGGAAAATTAAATATTCAAACATGTTTTAAGATAGTAAAAAAGTTTTAAAAAAATAATTTTATAAAAGCAAAACTTGTAAATTAAGATGTAAAAGAAGCTGTAAAAAACAATTTTGTAAAAAAACTAAATTTAAAAAGTTATAGATAAAAAAGGTTTTAGGGGAAAAAAATTTTAAAAAAAGTTTGAATCCAAAAGTCAAAATTAGACAAAAATAATTAAAATAAAAAGTTGGAAGGGATAAACTTGGGTCGGGATCTAGAGCTGGATGGCGGGTAAACAAGACCGACCCGGATTTTGTGACGCACCTAAAAAGGAGGAATACAAAGGGATCAAATATATAACCAAATGCAATAGTATATTTTAGTAATTTTGAGTTTTCTCTGAATATTTAATTACTTTTAAGAGCCTCGCGTAATATTATATTTTTAGGACAAAAAGTTATTAAACTACATCTGTACGCATTATATTTATAAAATAAAAAAAACAACAGGCAAATTAATATCAAGAACATGACATGTTTCTTGCCACATTCACGTAAACAACAAACAACTTATTAATTTTTATTTTAAATAGTTAATTTTGACATTCAACTCCTATTAGAATATTGAGTATTACTTTTAGCGACGATGCCATTAAAATTGAACCATTAGCTACCGATTAATTAACGATGAAATTTTCTTATACATTCCAAAATTTTAAATAATTTCTAAAAATATTTTGTTAAAGTTTTAAGATATAAATAGTAATATGTTTTTAAATACTTTACTACACGTACTTTTATTTGTTATAAAATCATTTTCATAGATTTTTAGGTCACTGAATTGAGAAGATTCAACCGTGAGTACATACTAGATGTGTGACCACACATGACCCATTTTGTCATGGGGCTGAAATTTTATCCGTTGCAGTTCCGTCACTATTCTTTTTCTATTTGTCACTGTCCATCCCTATCTGTTGCTAATCCAAAAATTTAGGGGTTCAATTTTAATTTCACACAAAGCCTTTAAAATCAATATACCGTCCAACTGGGTGGACTTAATATACAATGCAATGAAAAGAAATAACTTCAAAATACAATATTTTGTAATAAAAAAAAGAATTACATTAGTTAATGTTATAGCTATAACTTCAAAATTTAGCCCGCCCTGAAAAAGAAAACAACTTCAAACACAACATTTAGCCTTTTTAGATAAAACTAATGCTAGTTAATTTGTTATGTTAAATGGTTAAAAAGAATTATGTTGCATGGACTAGTAAATATTATGTAAAATCATAAAATCGCCTTGGTGAAGCAAATGTCTTCATCAAGAACTTCTCCAACTTACAACTTAAAGCCTTATACATAAAATGGTAGTTTCTTAGAAAAATTATGCTGCAATTAACAATCTATAATAATATATATTCTTTCATGCAGGTAATTTAGTGAAAAATGGTGATTTTGAAATTGGTCCATATGTCTTCAAGAACTTCTCAACAGGAGTCCTCCTCCTTCCCAAAATACATGACATAGTATCCCCACTCCCTGGGTGGATCATTGAATCGCTAAAACCAGTTAAATACATAGATTCAAAGCACTTCAAAGTACCCTCAGGGCTATCTGGCATTGAGTTGGTTGGAGGCCGAGAAACAGCCATTGCACAGATTATACGAACAGTTCCTAACAAATTCTACAGGTTAACATTCACTATTGGTGATGCACATAATGGTTGCCATGGTTCTATGATGGTCGAGGCTTTTGCTGCTCGGGAAACCCTAAAACTAAAATATGAGTCTCAAGGAAAGGGTGGGTTCAAAACTGGAGTTCTTAAATTTAAAGCAATTTCGAATAGAACTAGACTCACATTTTATAGTGCTTTTTATCACACAAAGCTTCATGATTATGGCCATTTCTGTGGGCCTGTGTTGGATGATGTTCGAGTTTGGTTTTACTAGGTACGAGGTCTATTTCTCCTCAAAGTAAGAACATACAAGAACAAAAACAAATACTATCAAGACGCGAGAATGATCGATAATGGCATGATTCATATATATGTATGTACTGCATGTCTCTATGTTTGAGTTTAGCAACTATTTGAAGATAATATGTTACCTTATATATATAAATTATATCGTTAAATATTGTATTTGTGAAAATACAAAGCATTAAATTTCGTGTATTTTCAATTCCTCAATTTCATTGCAAAATACTATTGCACTTTGTTCACTTTTCGTCAAAATGCTACAAATTTGAAACTGTAATGGTGTTTTTAGCATTTTACAAGCACGATGGTTGTTTAATGAAGTGGAATATAAAGTACGTAGAAATCCAGTTCAATCATTTTCATTCTATTTTTCTATTTACTATGACTTATTACCTTAATTTTGTTGCCAAGGTGATAAATCATGCAAAAGATTGACTAATAAAACTGGCCAATATAGTTTGAAGTCGTTTACTTTATTATGGCCAAGGTGCTTTTAAAGCCGGTTTATGATATCAAAGACCCTAACTCTCTTATTTGTATTTTACTTGTTATTGGTGGAACATGCCCATGATTCTTCGTATATTCAATAAAATATTTGTTTTAATAATATTATAAATTCGAAAGAATTATATATCTGAAATGGATATAATAATTTAATAATGTAATTTACTAAACTATTATTAAAAATGAAAAATTAAATATTCACTTATCTTTTATTCTTATTTATCTTCCTACTCATATAAAACAATGTGTATGGTATCCATAAATCCTGTCTTTTAATCTATTTTTTATTATTATGACATTTGTTTTGATCTAATGAGTACAAAAGGTAAGAAGATATTTGATTTCTCTTAAAAAAATATATGTAAGACTAACTTGTAAAAGGCTAAAATATACTAGGTTTTTTAAGATCTTTTATATATATATTAGAAATGTTTGAGGCCCGAGCTAAGCACGATCCACGAAAAGTAATTATACTTCTTTTATTTTTTTAATATAATCTAAAGTATAATGTCTTAATAACTTGAAAATCGAAGATTTTTTCTTTTAAATGCATGAATAATGAATTTTCAATGTCAACGCATGAATAAGAAAAAAAATGTAAGTATATTTTTATAATCAACAAGTAAGTGATGGTTCGGTTTCATATTTTTTGCAAGATTTGTTGTAATTGTTCAATGTTAAATTGTGTGCCCCGTGAAGGGTAATTTGGGTGTTTTAAAACACTAAGGTATAATGTTATGATTTTTATAGTAATTTTATATTAAAGTATATTGAGTACTAAAATATAAAAGATTCAAATGGACATGGTGGGAAAATTAACAACCACCTATTGTTTCATTAATTTGTTTTTTTTTTTCAACTTGTTAACTACGATTATACACTATTTCTTTTACTTCAATTATAAACAAAAGTACATTGTGTGAGTTGCAGTAACTTTATTTATGTTTTATAAAACATCGACAAGCATCATGTGATTTGAGAGTTTCATTGCCAGAGGCTTAAATTCTTGTTACCAATGCACACTTTCAACTCACATTATACATCTGCATCATGTGATTTGAGAGTTTCATTGCCAGAGGCTTAAATTCTTGTTACCAATGCACACTTTCAACTCACATTATACATCTTAAATCAAGTAGAATGCATATGTATTTGTGTATTGAGTCTTACAACATATATGAAAACAAGAGCCATGACGATCAGCCCCATAC